ATTTTAGGAGCGAAAACAGTCAACTGTGTCGTGCTTAGGCTGGTCATGGCAGGGTTACTGCTTGCGGGCGCGGTCATGTTTTCCGGCCCAAGGCCGAACTCGGGGCTCAGGCTTAACAAGTGGTGGCTGGCGCTATGAATGGGTGTTTCGACGAGCGGATGTTTTTGTAGACTAGATCCCGGGATCTGCCATTGATACCCAGCACCTCCACCAGTGTCACGATGTAGACACAGCAGAAATTGGATGTAGGAGAGCTCACTTTATTACATGCAAGGCGCTCGTAAAGAGGACCAGGCAAGAACTTCATCTTCCTTTCTTGCTGCGCGAACTCTTCTCTGCAGGTTGAATGCGGTAATATGAAAACGCAAGGAAGAAAAGAATCCAAAAGAAAAGACTCCAGCGCGCGCAATCAAACGTGACACCATGTGTCTTGAATGCGAGGCGTTAGCCACTGAACCACCGATTGATACCTTCTGCAATGTTCAAACGGCAAGCTATTCATATTTTTCACTTACCTCTTTCGGCGGGCATCTCGGGGGGGGGGGGGGGAGAACTATCGTGTTTTCAGCATTCTCAGCAAGTTGGCACAATGAGCGCGTGGCAGCTCTCCACTCTCACGCGTTCTTTGGCCCGTGGAGAGTCATAATATGAAAGCCCCGCCGCGGTGGTCTAGTGGCTAAGGTACTCGGCTGCTGACCCGCAGGTCGCGGGTTCCAATCCCGGCTGCGGCGGCTGCATTTCCGATGGAGGCGGAAATGTCGAGGCCCGTGTGCTCAGATTTGGGTGCACGTTAAAGAACCCCAGGTGGTCAAAATTTCCGGAGCCCTCCACTACGGCGTCTCTCATAATCATATGGTGGTTTTGGGACGTTAAACCCCACTAATCAATCAATCAATCAGTCATAATATGAAAACCATGACATGTATGTCATGAGTGTCATGATTTACATTTCATAGTCCAGCAGATCTTGCGGTAGTTTTGTTCACATGGCATGTTGTAAAACTGGTATGGTATGACATAATTGCATGGCGAACACAAGCGGCAGACCCTAACATGAAAACCATGACATGCATGTAATGTAACAACATGACTACATGCCACGCTCATGATGCGCTGGCGGCCGTTTCGCTAGCTTCACTTATACCAAATTTGGTATTACGGGACTTGAATGAATGACAAAGGTATGATACTGGTGCACACATGATAAACATGAGATGCGTGTCATGTAACAACATGACTACATGCTACGCTCATGATGCGCTCGCGGCCGTTTCACTAGCTTCACATGTACCAAACACGGTATTACGTGACGCGAACGAACGACATAGGTAAATGACATATCGAAACATGATAATCACGACATGCGTGTCATGTAACAACATCACTACAAGCCACACTGATGATACGCTCACGGCCGTTTCACCAGCTTCTCATATGCCAATTTTGGTATTACGTGACGCAAATGTATGACGAAGGTATGTGACTGGTGTGAACATAATAATCATGAGATGCGTGCCATGTGAGAACATGACTACATGCCACAGTCAAGGCGTCAATACATCTTGACATCACGGGGTGCGCGTGCTCGCCGGCGTTCATTTCGTCACGTGACGCCGGCGTTGCCTCACTAGGCGCCAGTCGTGTCATATACTCGCAGGCGCACGTCACGCTGCGTTGCGTTGACGCATGCGCGTTTCAGTGCATCCGGTGTCCCTCCGTCACGAAAAGAGGAAGATGGGGTGTTGCGTTGGTAACGCATCGGCATAGAGTAATGTTACTCTATAGCATCGGGCCAAAATGCAGCACGTCGCATTTCGCGCCAGTTGCCGGTGGGCCGCGCCGATGGACGCTGGTTACGCCTGGCGTCAGAATATACAGCGCTTGCGTTTTGCTAACACAGCGTCGCTGTGCCAAGCATGCACGCGTCCACGCTACATTAGAGTAACTTGGGCCATTCATGATGTGCTCGCGGCCGTTCCGCTAGCTGCACATATACCAAATTTGGTGTTGTGTGGCGTGAATGAATGACAAAATATACGATTGGTGCGAACGTGATAATTCAGCACGTGTGTCATGTAAGAAGATGACAACATACCACGCTCATAGTGCACTCGCGGCTGTTTCTCTAGCTCCACATATACTAAATTTAGTATCTCGAGACGGTAATAGAAGATAAAAGTAAACGACACATCTAAACATGAAACACGTGGGTATACGCCCCACGTTGATATACAGGGTGTCCCACGTAACTTCAGCCAGAGAATAATAATATGCCGAAACACGCAACTGCCTGTAGTTAGACTATTTTTTGTGTGCTCAAATATTGTTCAATTAGATATGTTTATTACTAAACATTTCAAGAAAAAAAAATAGATGAAAATTTCAGTGAGAACGTTGTAGATTGGTTTGCAAAACGTTAGATTAGACAGTTTTGAACTTTATATGTGCTAGGTATTAGTGTGTTTGTGCTAATTACAAATGCCCGCGAATTACAAAAAAGAATACCACGTGACAAACCCGCTCATGCGCCAGTGCGCGCAATCATTCTAGTGCTCCCTAACGTTTCTTGTACTCAATTAGGGCTAAGAACAATCAGGGCTAAATCATTTAGGGCTAAAACTATTTCACTGCAGCGCAGAAAACAAAAAATACGGGTACTGCGGATTTTTTTATTTCTTAGGTTTTATCACGTGGCTAAAGATACAACATCAGATAATCGCGGCGCAATATGTGAGAATAGATGTGATAAAAAATCAATCGGTGCTTTGCGTTTATAACAGCTGTAAAAATAAAAGAATGAAAAATAAACTTGACACCGTTACTGAATGTCAAGCCAGTAACACGTTCACCACAATTTGAGGTGCAGTATTGTCATTGCCTATACGACAATGAAAGATCTAGCGCAAGCAATACAGGCTAACGAATTTCGAATTCTGTTTCTAAAGTTTTATATTGTACGTAGCGTGGGAATTGGAAATGTTATGAAACATGATATGTTTATATTCTCAAATGCGATCCAGCATTCTTGATGCTGGAGAACATTGTAGAATGTAATGTAACGATGCCTTTCTTACCATACATACCACTGCACCCTCATAGTCAGTGCCATGCCGGGAAAGAAAAGGGAGAAATTCTTGCGACTCAATAATACCAAATGGTGGTACTGTAGGTTCAAAATTCTTATATAGGAATTCTCACTATATCGTTCCACAGCGATGGTTGGCAGTGGCAGACTGCAACAACGGATGTCGTTGGCAATATAATTGCTGCAGCCGGTGTTCGTCGCAGCTATCGCTCATGAAACAAAACAAAGGAGTTTCTTCCACTGATAAACCCATGCATTCCATGTTGAAGTGTACTATTTTACCCAAGCGCTTGCGGGCACCTCTCGAAGTATGCTTTCGAGGTGCGTTCTCTCCCCGTGGAATTATGCATTTAAAGACATAGATGCAAACACTGCGTGGAATTAATGTGGTGTCATAACAGGTGTCACGCAGAGTGTCCTAACGTTTGATTAGTACATTTTGATGATTGTAATAAATCCATGTAGTCGTTCCCAATAACTAAGCAAAGATACATCATCATTTTGATCAGACACATCGACTATCCATCCATGAGGAGCCAGGTGTGCAGTTCGGAGGTATTCAAGCTCTGTTTCAGTTCAATTTCATGGCACGATGTGTCATATTATCTAAATTGACCAACAGGTAAGAGCTTTGTTGCTGTCCATGCGCTACAAATTAGAAGAAGCTCAACCAAGTTTAGCGATCGCCTTTAGCAACAACTGTCTTTGGTCGAATGAAGAGTCACGTGATCAACCATGCAAGAGCACTAGTCCCTGTTTCAGAGAGCAGACTGCCATGCCTCTTTTGCCATAATCCAACTATTTATGATTTGTAATGTCCTCTAAAGCAACAGATGGTCCGTAGGGTCACAAGGAATATACTGGGTAGCCTACTTTAATCTTCATAAACTTGTTCCCCTCGCATCAGAATGCACGTATGACTCTCTGTACTAGTTTCCATGCTAGTGCTTGCAGCAAACGTCCTCGAACAAATCACCAAGGTTTCTTAGCAGGCTGCTCTTCAAGCGCACTCTCTGATGGTCTAACATGTGTCGCGCAGACCTGTTATTTTTACAGCGAAGCTGCTTATGTTAATCCTGTGCCGTTGGGATTATAGGCGTGGTCATGCTAAAGAACGTTGTGTGACCTAGGTGAAGAGGGAGCCTAATGAGAAAAGAATACGGAGTCATTCAGAGAAACTTACGCGAAGTGGGGTATTCAAAGAGTGAACTTAAAAAGAAGGGGCTATCTCATTTTATAGGTTCAAACTTAGGTAAAAAACATACGTAAGGTGGGTGGCTCAAATATAGGATTCAGAAAGGTCACATAATGATGCGCTGTTTTCCAGTAGTTGCTGGTGGTATTCAAACTAGACCTAGCAACTCAACGTGAACACAGCTTTTTAATACAAATTCTGTTATATGTAGCACCGAAATCAGGTCTAGCCAGTGTACCGCAATGATACCATCGAGAAGCAAAGCTCCAGATTCTGAAAAATCAGAAGTTAAACTGTGGGTTACAGGAAAATAAAGAGCAGGCAGAGGGAGGAGTCCAAAGTGGTTCACGCAGGCAAGACCATTCAACTGAAACTGGAAAAAAATCGTATGTTGCTCAATTAAACAAACAAGAAAGAAATGATTTAGAAGTCACTGGGGTAAAATAAAAGAAACTTCAGGGAAGTGAAGGAAAGGACAATCGTATTCGTAGTCCGATGGATTCCCCTTGCGAAACTGGATAAACATTTATTACTGTTTCTGAATTGTTTGTTGTACTGAAGATATAGCGTTTCATTAGCTTCCTCATTCATTGAAAGATACCGTCTCTCGAAATTTTTATAGTAATTTCATAAATTACAGGGGCAAGAATCAAGAATTTGAATGTGTATGAATCTCGATGGGCAACAATTTCCCTCATGAGGCATGAGCTAGAGTCAATATTATAAAAAACAACCGTAATTCGCTTTATTTATTCACGCACCTTGTTATTTCAAACAGTATGATATAACATCTCTTTTTTATTTACAGGCACCCACTGTATTGACTAGGGGCGGAAACACTCGAAACAACAAACAGGTTCAGTGTATGGATTTAGTATGAGGCCAAACATACATGCACCCCCGCGCGAACACAAAGATAGAGATTCCTAAGTATTATGTTGGTATTCACGTTCGCAAATGAGCATAAAATCAGCAAAGAGAACCTTTCACCGCAAACACAGAGAATGGGCCAAGCTCGGAATGCACAACAATTTACTTGAACAAGTTCTATCTATAAAGCACTTCACTTTTTAATTCTTTATGTACTTCCGTTTGTGTTTTTATTGCAATAGATATTGTAAGAACAATTCTATCGAAAATTCACCAACGCCGCTGGTCTGGTGATCCGCATAACTTTTCGTAATTATTTTAATTCGTGCCACGTTCTCACATTTCAATCTATCACAAAATCCAACATTTCTAACCTATGAGGACTTGTGACCTCGCATGAAAATAGAAGAAACAGTAATATTTTATGAACAAGTGCAGCCAATGCTGAAAATAATTTTAGGCACAATCACACTCCAAACATGCACGAATTAGCACATAAACAAGAATTTTTATTTAAGTTTAACGTTTTGCAGGTAATATGCGTTTTTCGGAACGAGTTTGACACAAAAAACGCATTCGTGGCCAAACGCTTAGATCTCATGAGCAATTTTTGCTGTGTGGAACATTTCGAAATTGGGGCCAAGTGGTGGCCTTGGCATCCTCTGCTTGCTGGAAAGTTGGTTCGCTGTTTGTTTTTGTGTTGTTGTTTCGTACATGCGTAAACACACGCGCTACCACACACATACATACGTACAGAGATTGACAGACATGTTTCAAAACTGCGGTTTGATGAGGGTAGTTCACTGAAGATGCCTTTGCGTGTCACCGCTTCTCCGAGAGTAGACACCACACTTATGAAATATAACAACGAAATGTCTCTTTTACGAAGTTCGCATCTTTTAGCACAAAATGTCCTCTGCGTGGATGAAAACGGAGACAGAGGATTTTCTTTATCGCTCGAGGGACCCTTCCAAGAGGATTCTCGGACGGATGATCACAGATATGGTGTTTCTCTGCTGCCTACAGGAGGCATCAGGACGCGCAGGCCTCCGTCACCTGCACAGAAAACAAGTTGCGGATGACTTCTGTATTGACAATCAACACAGTCTTTGTAGTAGTGATGCTTCTATCAGCCTGCACAATTATTATAAATTCTTTCTAGCTGCGTACTTGTAATTGTTACTATCATGTACTCTTAAGCTCATGTACTCTTGCTGTTGCATTTTATCAGTAGAGCTGTTTAACCTTGGCGAGAGAGGAAGAAGAAAAGAAGGAAAAGCAGGGAAGTCAACCAGGCGCATGGCTGGTATGCTACCTATGGTGGAAGGGAGGAAGAGGGGCTGATGGTGGGTGTGGAGAGAGAAAGGAAAACTAGGAGATGACAAGGTAAACCACGGCATAACCACGCAGCATGGCTAATGGTGGGAGAACTAAGTAGGTGCAAAGCAGCTCCTAGTATAGCATATCATCGCTAGGATTCGTATGTTATTGTTATGGGGTGGGAAAAGAGTGCGACGGTAAGGAGATTAACGTTAGGATGGGGAGAGAGGATAGAAGGAAGAGAAGAGGGTAAATTGTAGCTTAGCCACTCATAGTACGTCATACCAATGGGGAGGGAAAGGGGAATGAGGATGAATAGGAGTGATGTGAGGGTGAACAGAACAGACAGGGAGTGTGTAGTGGGTACATCAAAGCATAGCCCTGCATAGTGTGGTAAACCAAGGGAGTGGTGAAGGGAAGTGAGAGTGAGGAGGGGTTATGCGTGAGCGGGGTCAGAAAGGAGGAGAGAGCATATCGAGCCTGTCCATGTGAGGCATATTATAACAAACGAGTGAGCAATGAAACAGAGCGAGCAAAGTACCGGTTTCAGGGTGAGGAGGAGGAAAAAAGAGAGTACAATGCCGCCATCTTTGTTTCTTTCGTGTTCGTGCCACTAGGGCATAGATGCCGTGATTTATGTCTATTCGTTTTCAGTGTTTTTACTCATGAATGAACAGCGTGACTTCGCACTTACCTACATAACGGTCTTTGTGATCGTGTCTTGTGTTTCGCGCGACTATTGACAGTAAAGTAAACTGGATGTGTTTCAGAAAAAGAAAACAAAAAGTAACGCGCGGCTTTCATTGTATGTGGCTCTGCCACAAGCATGACCTCATTGAAACAGAGCACGCTTTACAGGTCGCTCTTCGTAATTGCGTTGCACGGTCATGTATTAATTCTCTGAACATTGTGAGACTATTTAATGATTTCAAAGACCGATATTATAACAAAGTGAAACACTGCATACGTGTCAGATGATTAAGTTATTTTTTTAGTACTCGTGATTGTCTGGTCATCTCAGAAGGTGCAATGCTTTCATTGGCTTCATGACTTGCCCAGTCGGCCGACGCATGCACGGTCAACATGAAGCAATGCTAAATAACGAAACTGCGTTTTGGTTTTACGACGATTGCAGCTTTAAGACATTTTGTTTAGGTACAAGTGTTGTGCTAATTTGTTTTTTTGCTATGACTGGTTCTTCTCTTAAAATATACATCAACAGTTTCTTTACCGGAATGTGTTCTCGTAATTTTACTATGGGAATTACATTGCATAAAAATAATATATTTCAAGTAAATGAAGTCACTTGCATTCATTATAAAAAGCAGAGTTTCTTAGGAGAAAAGCCTTTAAAATACATACTAGATGATTTTTTATTCTATGCGTCAAAAATAATTACAGAAGTGACGCTTGAGGAAGCTAGATCAATCTAAGAAAACCTAGTGTCCAAGTAGCAGTCGGAAAGCAACACGTTCACATTCGTACAGTTTGTGTGTATTGTTAGGATTTTTTCTTCTTACTAATTACTTCCGCTATGAAATATTTCAGTTCTTCTGTACAATTAATACAGTTTGTAAATAAAAATAAAAGGGCTGTCCAAGTCTTCTAGTGTATTTGACATTCTCCAACACATCAGCCGTTATAGTGCACAATTTCCTCTTTGTAATAGAAAGTAGCAAATACGCTACTAAAAAAGTGGCAGCATATCCACGGGGTGAATGATGGAGAGTGGGGCGAAGCATCCGTCCGTCCATTCATTCTTGCTTCCATCCGTCGATGCGTCCATCTGTGTGACCGTCCATGCGTTAATCTGCCCGTCCGTACGTGCGTCTGTTCGTGCGTCCACTACGACTACGACGAAGGACAAATGGGTGCCACTTTAAGGAGCTTCGCCCCTAAATATCCAATCGTTCAACATGGCTAACTGTCAGTCAAGCATAACTGCCCTTCCGTTTCATTTGAAGGGGTGGTATTTATCATGGTTAGGTCCAGATGCATGTTTTCAGAAATGTATTGTAGGCATTCATTAAGCACATCTACTTTCTTCACTAATGTTCATCATCATGAGTGGTCGTCATCTTCATCGGCTGTGGGAACTTGGCTTGCCTTGGTTGTCTGCCTCGGATGTGGTCACTTAATTGTGTCTTCTGGGCCTAGTAAAGGTTGCCTTCACCGTTGCATCACAGTATATTTACTTTACCACAAAATGATGTCTTCTACTGTTACAACTGTACTTCACACGTACCTTTAACGAAGGAGAGTTTGCTAAGTTCGCGATCACACTCTGCTTCAGACACTTCGTGAAGGTCATCGTCTTCTCCTTTTATACAGCGTTGAGGCGAGTGTTCGGTGTCGCTGCCAGGTTCGTTATAAGGCGGTCTGAAAAAATAAAGATATGAATATTCTAAATTAGTAACATTTTGTCCAGTACGCTGATGTTGCTCATTTAAGTAACATCAGCTGATGTTAGTACAAGTTAGATGTAAGGCAATAAACTGATCAGGTGTTAAATAAAGAACACCCAAACATTTAAGCCCTCGACGAGGTCATGTCACATCTTATTACTTGAGGGTTTTCTGCTCGTATAGGAGATTCTTAGTGATTCGCTCGCAACCGTTTGTGATATCAAGAAAACATTTAAACTGTGGGTTTAATCTCCCTGTGCAGGGAAACGTAGCAGAGACCTATTGCCCGTTTTCAAGATGACAGAGCTCAGCGATCGCTTTAGTAGTGCAGTGAGCACTTTTATAAAAGAGCGTGCATCACACATTATACATACTTCTGCGGTTGTCTAAAATTTAGAAAACTTCATAATTGAAGCCAGCATAGGAAAACAATGGGCCTAGTAGCAGGCGTGGCCGGATTTGCCTACATTGCAGCAGCAGTGCAATATTTATCTATTTTCTATCTGTTGGCAAGCGAGTAACGTTTCACGAAGCGCAAAATTCTTGTGTTCAGAAAAGTGATAACGCTGCACATGCATATCGCTCACGGTTCATATCCATCGTAGTAAAGCACTTTTCTCTTCACGTTTCGTTACAAGTCAGTCGATATGCTGACATTTATTATTTACAATTCAACAAACATATTAGTTCTCGATCTAGGTCACCTTGTCGTCACCAGATCTCAGCTGATATATCTGCTGAGCGAATCACCTGGCATAAATCTTTGGGCTACTGGGCAACTTTAATTCCTATGATACTAAGTCCATTATCCTTCCTAGCAACTCCCAGGAAGCAATAGCCAACCACCAATCACCGCCATCACGAAATGCAATTTTGTGAATAAATAAACAAAAAATAATAAATAAATAATAATAAATCTTTAGCTTTTTGTTTATTCAACATGCACAAAGCGAGGCCATTCAGTTTTCGTAAATCGATGATGACAATGATCTAATAGAGAGGGTGCTCACCCACAAAGGAGCATGAACCATGAACTGGGTGACAGGATGCCTAAAGTAATGAACTGTAAAACCAAATCTATCTGAAAAATTAGTTTAGCTATAAAACTTCGAATAATAACAATGCTTACTGAGCAAACGGTGAGACCATCTGTGTTCTCTGACGGAAATAACGACGAATTACAAACTAAGAATCCTAATAAGTAGGGATAGACTAACACGGTATTCTTTTTGCTGCTTTGATGAAGTCAAACACAGTAGAGCATACATCCCTGTGGCAGTACCTTAGTGAAATGCCGCCAAGTAATAAAATTTCTGTAACATTTAGTACTATTCCCAAGCTCTGAAATGGGGCTTCCAGGAATATTTTTCCTTGATAAGAATAGCGATGACATATTAAAGGAAATGTTCAATTGTTTCAGTTTCGTTGCACAAGATTTGTTGCAAACAAGACTGGACTCAAGGCGGGAGTCCAGCCTTGTTTAGGTAAAAATTCAGTTGAGGAACTTCACAGCGTAATCTGGTGCAACTTCTAATTGTCGAGATACACACCACTCTTTATTTCAGCAATGCCTTAGATGCTCGGAATATATGAATTTATCTAGTGATAATTTACCTCTTTCACATTGCAAGCAAGCATTTTTTAACTTTAATGCTTTCGCGTATGCCATATTTGGTAAAACTGGGATGAGGAGTCCACTCAGGGATACTGCGGCTAAAGATTCCACCATTTTGTTTAATTATAATCTATGGTAATTTGACACCCATAGCGAATTCAGTATTTGTACGTTTTCAGAATCAAAGGACGAGACGTATTCATTAATTGTAAATTTCTTGCCGCAGAAAGTGCAGCACATACTGATAGAGAATCACTAACGATCACTTCTGCTGATTTCCTTGAGGGAATTTCGCGTAGAGCTATACCAATAGTCATTGGAGCTATACCAATAGTCAAGAATACAGGGGTAAAATTTGGGAGTCAAATCGAAAAGGAACAACCAAGAGAAGAAGAGAAGATGCCAACCTCAACCTTTCCTTTAGTCACACATTCGTTATTCGCCATTATATTGCTTATTCCAAGTGAGCTACGTAGTTCGCTAACTGACCCCTCCAGCACCTATGCACCATTTTTTTAGCGAAGTGTATAATCAAATTGAATGCTAACCATTCAATCTAGATTATCTATAGGTGCAATATGTCTTATTTTTACACTCATCTGTTCTACCATCGCATGTGCAAATATAATGTGTGGCGTGTGTAATCACGCTCAGTTTGTTTCGAAGAATAACTGCGGTTATTCAATGAAAACGTACAATGAGTGTCCCTGGTGGGAACTGTTAGGAATAGCTGTACTGTCACAATATTAAAGCTATGCGGCAGGGAAGGTCGGTTGACCTTCATATACAACACATTGTTTGCAACAAACTTTGGGAGACCCAGGCACATATGCAACACTTGTCTTTTCAACAGTACTAGGGGTCTCATTTCATAGGCTGCACTGCCAGAAAAAAACACCCGGATTCCATGATAGGCCACACGTACATTTTATATATAATTATTAGCGTATCTCTTCTATACCCTATTAGAGTTTGTGAGTTTCTGTAACCATCCTATGGCACGTATTTCCTTAGAGTATGCAGCATCGATGTGATCTCTTCAATTTAACGTACTGATACATATTATGCCTACATATTTGAAGGATCTACATGTAATGAGCCCAATACTGTACTTTAGTAAGACATAGATAGCCTTTTTATTGAAGAACACAAGAAGCAAGCTTTTCTTGAATTCGAAGTCATTTGAATGTTTTAAAGCCACGCTTCTATTATAATAATTTTTTAGATTTCGATTTAGTGAATACAGATCGTTATTACTCGCAAAGAATGCAATATTGGCTGCATACAAATATAGCTGATTATGTTTTTATAGAGTAGAGCTTTAGAATATGTTAAATTAAAGTGGCGACAAGACAGCCCCCTGTGATACGCCACGTTTCTGCTTTTTCGCCTGACCTTCCTGCCTTTTCTCACTCTTACTCCTTTTTTTCACTCCATCCTATGAAACTTCAATCTCAATAGACTATGTTACTCGACAGTCTATGTTTTAGAGTGACTCGAGACAAATGAGCGACGCCTATAACAACATAAAAAAATAAATCGTTGACCGAGTAGTTCTAGGTTTGAAAATTTCCCTCACGTTTGCCTTGTTTGTCTCAGTGGCGCACTAGTCGCCCTTTCTTCCGGCGCATGAAAAGTCTCCGAATACGCCCATCTCTGTGAACATAAACGTTTTCGCTGCTCTTAGCACTGTTTATTCTGCTATATGTAATATCCTTTCGATTTGAAGAAACTGGAGTACGCCACACTGACTTCAAAGCTGGGAGGATGAGATTGGCCGCCACCCATTTTCTATCACCGTGATATATTTCAACCCTTAGTTATACCTCCTGATATGACAAATTTTTTTTTTCAAAATAAACAAAGGGTGTCTACGAAACTGAGTGAAACAGAGTTCATTTTGGGAGAACGCAGCTTTATTACCTTCCCTCTACTAATTCAGAACCTACGCATACCAGTGATATCGGCACAAATAATCACGCGTATGTTGCACGTTCTTGTATATATTTCTTGAGGAAGTTGATGGACCCAGCAGTGGAAAAAGTTTCCTCTGAATCCGGCCATTCTCTGTTAGCCAACAAATGGCAGTCAATCTTATCATCAGTAACCAGAATTTCCATACTGTTATACATTTCTTTACGTGTGCAAGGGTGCTGCAAAATAGCCGAATACAATTTTCATTTTATGCCCCATTGATTCTAGTGATGTTCCAGTGCGTTGTATATTTTGCTTACGCAACCATCATTCCTCATGTTTCACTGTTTGCAAAAAAAAGTATAGCATTCTTTGAGAATTGTCTACCTCAGGGAGAGCCTTGACTCCTTGGTCGTACCTTTCTCGCGAACGTATTCTTTGTTATCTCGAAACCCAGCCCAACATCTTGTAATTGGTATCTGGAACTATGAGCGAAACGCTCATTGCATTACATAGCAATCTTCATTATTAGGAGAACAAGGTGAACTATCGGTGTGAGGTGTTAATATTTCCGAGACAAGTGAGTGCACTTATCTAATTAAGGGGCAGATGGCGTCTGTACGAACGCTCCTGATTCAAGCAACCACGGCTATCTGATGCTTCGTTTCCGGGAGTGCACAAGTAAGGCACCACCAAACATCCTCCTACTAATTAGGTTCCAGAAATGATTACACCCTTTAGTTCGGAGATTAGTGTGTTAATATGTATTTTATCCTGTATGTATCATCCGGCAGTGCGTCTAGCTCTGACATTTACCGGAAGAAAAAGAAAAACTCCGGCTCGCCTTATTGTTCTATATTTGTAACAGAATTTTTCGATGTTGTATGCTCTAAGGAAGGCTGCATTATAATTCAGCGTACTTAGCTTTATCTTCCATGTGTTCGACTGCTGTCTGTGGCTATGTTCGTTCCAACAGTAATACGTTTGTGTATCATCTTAAACGATGCGTGTGTATTTTTTAAGTCTCTGCAATGCAAGCATTTCTGGCTTATGTTGTGAGAGTTTGTGGCTGTTTTACAGTGTGTATTGTCAACTGTTGCTTCAGCCCTCACTGGGCCCACAGTATTTTGTGTATAAATAAAAATTAAACGAATGATAAATACAAAAGGGCAACAAACCTTATATCTACTAACTAATAAACCTAGTTTTTATTTCTTGTACATCGCCAATTTAATACTGATCCTTTAGGTGGGAGCCTTAGATGCATCGTCATGTGCATTAATTGACCATCGGCATCGGCGGCAAAACTAGAGGTTCAAAAGTTCTAAGCACAGGATGACGTCAACATAGAACGCCACCACGGACGTGGCAGATCCCCAGAACTTGCGACGCTACTATGACGTCATCGCATAAACTCGTCACTTGTTAAGAGGTGTGTCTAGTAC